GCCGCCGTAGCAGCCACTCCCGTTTCCGCCCCGTTCCCGCTTCTTCTGCGGGCCTCGGTCGGCTCAGCAGCCGCCGCCGCTGTTCTCGCTCCCCTCGCTGGGAGCGGCTGGAAGTGGTTGCGAACTAGAAGCGGCCACCCTTGGGGTTAGCACTGCACGATTCCAAGCATTCATGTCATTAAAAAAATGACGATAAGTTTATCTTAGACTGAGTTTTGTGTCAGTTTCAAATGTATCTCATTTTGGTGCACTTGGATTTCTAAGCTGGATGCCATGCTTCCCGTTTGCAACATATGTCCCACACAGCGTCGTCCACCGGCAGATAAAAAAACAACATGAAATCTGAAACGAAGCCTACGACTGGATTTGAGTCACTGCCGTCATTGGTTTTCAGCGAAATCCAAATACCGAGCTTCTCTACATTTTCGGTAATTCAGCGTTTACGACCCGTGGTGTGAAAAGCACCGTCTTGCCGGTATCAAAAGTCAGATGTCTTTGATCAGCTGCCGAGTTGCAGATTAATACGAGGGTTGTTGCATATTCGCTCTTTCCGCACAGTTTGCCGTATTTTGCCTCGGAGAAGGCCTCACAAAATAGTAAGCCGCCGAGACTGTGTGCCTCCTTCACCAGCGGCTAAGGCCTGTTCCACACTTGCAATCACGTGCGGATGAGGACTGTGACCTGGCGCTGCAGCACCGTAGTAACCAGGTCAGGTGATAACTACGGCTCGTGATGCACCATCATGCTTGAGAGATCCTGATTGGAGGCTACACAAGGCACACTTTCCGACAGAGAAAGGAAAGTTAGCCGCATATCCCGCTCAGGTGTAGTTGACAGAGGGCGTTGTGGCTGCGCAGTCTATGGCAAGGCCTGGAGACCCGGCCGGTGGTGGGTGCCGTCCATTGCTCGCGTGACCCAGCCGGTGGTAGGTGCCGTCATTGCTCGCGGGACCCGGCCGGTGGTAGGTAGTCATATGCTCGCGGGGACCCGACCGTGGTAGGTGCCGTCATTGCTCAGCGGGACCCCGGCCGGTGGTAGGTGTCCGCAATTACTCTCGGGACCGGGCCGGTGGTAAGGTGTCCGTCATTGCTCGCAGGGACCCGGCCGGTGGTAGGTGCCGTCATTGCTCGCTGGGACCCGGCCGGTGGTAACTGCCGTCATTTGCTCTCTGGACCCGGCCGGTGGGTAGGTGCCGCCATTGCTCGTCGGGACCCGGCCGGTGGAAGGTGCCGTAACTGCCCGCTCGGCAGCTGGTCGAAAACAAATATGTCGTATGCGGGTTAGCGTGAAGTGTGGTGGTTTTACGGCCAATAGGACCGTTACAGCCGAATGCATCGGTGTCAGTCACTCAATAAGACACTGACGGGGATGGGGTCAGCAATAAGAGGGCGAATGGGGTTGTCATTTGCAAAATCCCGCTTAGGCCGGCAGGGCTGATCTTCATCGCAGACAAAACTTATACATAACACATTATCGCACTCAGCCTACAGTCAACATGTTCTGATTGCGGGTGCCGCTGGTGTAGTGGTTAACGCGTCTGTAGTGAACCACTGCAGCGTCTGGGAAACCAGAGGTACGGGGTTCGATTCCCTTCGGTGCCCGCCCTTCCTGCCAGGGTGAGAGGCAGGCGACGCCAGAGAGCCTCAGCAGCTGGGCGTGTCGTAAAATCCCAATGACAACAACAACAACATTATCGCACTCTAGAAACAAAACAATACGAGCAGTCAGAAAGGTAGTCATCGGCCAGCATATGCATTGTTTATCCGCGCCAGCACCATAATGCATGCGACACGTCATTTTCTTGTCCAGACTGAAAGTCACACCTCAAGACATGGATTATTGTGATCTCCTGAAATGTCTTCTGAACCGTGAAGCTGCTCCCCACCTGAGCAAGCAATTCACCAGTCCTGATGTTGAAAATGAGCCTAGGCTCATCCCTGAGGTCGCCTCCTGCACCTTATAAGATGCGGAGCTCGTCGTCTGCCTGTATTAATTCGCAATCGTATCAGAAGCGCCAAATTGTTTCAACTCTAAAGGGCAGCCACTTCAGTCGATATTAGCATGTTACCCTGCTCTTTGTGAAGATCGCCATGAGAGCGAATAATCCGCGATGGACTTGAGATCGTGCCCGTGTTTGCCAAGGATTATGAAACCGATGTTCACAGGCAACTGTGACCGCGTCGACGTCAGCTACCAACATGCCGATTAGGGACATTCGTTGCGGGGATCTGCATGGATAACGAATTCCAGTGGGAAATAAAAGTGATGAATTGCCCACGATAACGACGCGTAAAAGTCAAAAGTGAAGAAGCCGAGAACGGTTGTACTGCATCGGGAGCGGTTACAGCAGGTCTGATAGTTAGTTCATTTTTGGAAACAATGTGTTCAGTTTGAAGCTTTCCGGTCGATTTCAGGGAAAGTCTATCAGGCATAGAAAGTGCGAGAAGGACACTGCACGTTTTTGCCCGTTCCCAGTGAGTTCCGGCTTCCGGTTAAGTGGGCGGCCTGGCTACGAGGGGCGGTTGTGCGGTCGGTGGGCCGGGGCCGTCACCATGGCTGCCGTCAGTGAGGCCCTGGCTCCCGGCAGGCGGGCCCCGGCTCCGGCAGGCGGGCGGCCTGGCGACGAGGGGCGGTTGTACGGTCGGCGGGCCGGGGCCGTCACTGGCTGCCGTCAGTGAGCCCTGGCTCCCGGCAGGCGGGCGGCCTGGCGACAAGGGGCGGTTGTGCGGTCGGTGGGCCGGGGCCGTCAGCTGGCTGTCCCGCAGCGAGCCCCTGGCTCCCGGCAGGCGGGCGGCCTGGTGACGAGGGGCGGTTGTACGGTCGGTGGGCCGGGGCCGTCACTGGCTGTCCGTCCAGTCGAGCCCTGGCTCCCGGCTGGCGGGCGGCCTGGCGACGAGGGGCGGTTGTGCGGTCGGTGGGCCGGGCCGTCGCTGGCTGCCGTCAGTGAGCCGGGGTCGCCGGCCGGGATGTTTGTCTGGGCTCGGGCCGATCGGGCGGCCGATTTTGCCGCTGTTTTCGGGCGCCCGCCCGGCGCTGACCGGCCGGTCTCATGCCGCCGATCTGTCTCATCGACTCAGTGACAGCCGGCAGAACAGGAGCGATCATCGGTGTGTGTTACGCCAGGCGAGAGTGGCCGCCGAAACACCACCCCGCTCTGCCGGAGATGTGTACCGCTGCTGGAGCGGCTGTTACCACCAGACCGCGCGCGTGTTGCCGTTGCCGTCTGTGTACCGCTGCTGGAGTCCCTCCGTGTGTTCCAGTCTGTATTTGAGTCCCTCCGTGTCTGCCAGTCTGCTTGTGAGTCCCCCTGTGTCTGCCAGTCTGTATATGGGTCCCTCTGTTTCTTCCAGTCTGTATGTAAGTCCCTCCGTGTCTGCCAGTCTGTATATGGGTCCCTCCGTGCATACCATTGTGTCCGTGTGTGCCTGCGTGTGCATGGATTGCGACATGTCCGTAGGTCCGTGGTAGTCCGTTCCGCGTCCTCGGCCCGTCCGCGGATCGCACCATATCCCTCAGCCCGCTCTTGTGCCTCTTAGTGTTTGCCAGTCCGCCTCTGTGTGTCCTCTGTTGTCGGCCAATCCGTTAAGATGTCCCGCCGCCATTAATGGGGTCGTCTGTGGCAGCACGTGGCCAGAAGTTCCCTTCCGGGGGATGGGGGGGGGGAGGGGGGAGCAATCTTGCATCGTGCCCGAAACTCCTGCAAATCTGGGCCGAAGTGCTGTGAAATCGTCCAGCATTTAGTCCATAGCTTCTAGATCAGGGAATGGGGAACTGACCTCCGTGGTCCCGCATTGGCTACGTCCCATGATCCGTGTCTGCTAGTCGTTTGTGTGTTTCTCTGTCTTGTCAGTTCGTCTCTAGCTCCTCCGTGTGTTCAAACCCGTCTGTGTTCCTCCGTGTTGCTAATCGTGTGTGTTCTTCCGTGTCTGCCAGCCCGTCTGTGTTCCTCCGTGTCTGCCAGCCCGTCTGTGTTCCTCCATGTTGCCAGTGCTGTGTGTTCCTCCGTGTCTGCCAGCTCCGTTCCGGTCTGGCCCCCGTCTGTGTTCCTTCTGTATTTGCAGTCAGCTTTATTCCTCGGTGTCTCTCCGTACCTTGCCGTGCCTTCCCGTGTCCCGCTGCCGCACTGAGTGGCTAAGGCCCCGCCTCAGCTCCCCTTGTCAACCGGGCTCGTACACGGGAGGATCTATAACTCATAACGAGGGAGGATTTTCTTACGATGAAACCTGACCCACTCCGTGGTCCCCGATGGCGCCCTCAGGCAGGCTGCCGACAGCGATCATCACCGCCTCCATATAGGTAGCATCACTTGCGATCCTTTATAAAGCCTTTCCTGTCCTGGCATGGGGCCTCCAGATGGTTTTGAGACGCACAATTTCTGAAGCGAGGCTCCGCACAGCTGACTTGTTTCGCGGCGCCCGTCTGCCATTCCCGGCCCCTCGACGTTTCCCGTGTGCTTTCAGCGAGCAATGTGAGGTTGCAGTCACCCTTCAGCGCCCTGCGTCAAACGCCTCGTGAATGCCGGAGAGGGCCTATGACACCTGCCAGCGGGACGGTGGCCGGTGAGCCCTCCCTCCGGGATGCGTCCCGGCGTGGGACCGTGCCCTGCTGAGTGGGTCCGGGTCCGAGGCTGTGTAATTGAGATGCGGTGGCGGCGGCGGCGGCGGCGACGACGCAGCGCGCTGGGACGCGCGCGCCCGGCCGGTGCGGTGGCCGCTCCTCAGTGATGATAATCAGCCGGTGGAGGGGCGCCGCCCCCGGCCCGCCCCGTCCGTAATTGCCCGTTTTTACCTGGGGGATCCCGGCGGCCGCCCGCTGAGGCCGGACGGGGCCGTTCAGCGGCGAATACATCACAAAAGCAAACAGAGCGGCGGGGCGCTGCGCCGGCCGCCCTGCTCTCCGTCGCCGCCGCTCTCGCTCGCTCCCTCGCTCTGCTCTGCGGGGCAGGCGACGACGCGCGGCTCGTGGCCCGCGCGGCGACCGACGCGCTCGAGACACGGGTATATATATATCACTGTATTGGCGTCAACTAGAAAATAAATAACAAAGAAAACAGGCGGCTGGCGGGATGGCGCGTCGGCGATCCCGACGCCGCGTGGATCACTGGGCGGTCACTGGTGCGCGGGCGCGGACGGCGCGCTGGACGGCGGGCTGGGTGACGCGCGAGCGCGGCAGCGGACCGCAGTCCTGACGCGTCGGCACTGCTCGCGGCCGCGGCACACCGCGCCGCCGCCGAAAGCGGCTGCCTCACAATGTCTCCAGCGCTTTGGGGTTGAACATGATGTCCCTGAGGAGTCGCCACACCTGCTTGGCGGCCGTGTCCATGGCGGCGGGCGAGATGCCTTTGTAGAGGTTGAGCGCCGGCAGGAAGTAGTGCGGGCAGCGCCGGTTCTGCAGGCACGAGATCAGCTGCACCAGCAGGCCCAGGATGCGGTCGTAGATGGCCGTGTCGTCCCACTCGAGCTCGCGCGGGTGCTTCTCGCACTCGTACAGCAGCAGGATCTGCGAGCGAGGAGCGGCGGTCGGTGGCGGCCGGCTGGCGGGCCCACGGCCGGCCCGTTCAGGCGGTGCGGGGTATGGGGTGCGGTATGGATCTGTTGAGTGGTCGCAGGGGCAGAAAAGCATTGCGCCGACTGGGATGTGGTGCTGTGATTTCAGTCATGTGGTAGCGCTGTTGGTGGAGGTGAGACGTCCCGGTTCATACTCGCACCCACGTTAGTGTTGACGCGGTGCCCTAATTACTGCGATACAGTGACGTAATAAGTTGCCTGATTAGGGCCCGTGAAGGGATCCATCGGCTTGTGAGCGGATCACTCTGGTTGGTCATGCTGCCCTCGATCACACGATCGAACCTTCCATCACGCCCCGCATGATCCGTGCCGTATTCAGTGTTCCCCTGATGCGAGAGTTCGCGCGTCGGGTCGTACCGTTAGTGACGAATCGAGCCCGATCGTGCCCTCTTTACGCGCGTGGTTCTCTCCGCGACCGTCCGAGACTCGAGTTACTGCCTCTCTCTGCGGCGGATATCTGGAGAGTTTGTCAGCCGGTGGTCTGTCGAATGTATCACGCGCCCGTTTCGCTTCCGAGCCAACGTCCGCACGCTGCGGACGAAGGCGGCCATCTTTCGAGACGTGGGGTGCAGAAATAACCGTGTAGGCTACCACTGTGTGTGGTTTTGTTTGGGTTCAGGACCGTATGGGCTTCTGAAGCACAGCGCGGTCTCCTGAGCATGTCTGCCGTCGGGTAGTAGGGGACAGCGGCCATTGGTTACGCTGCGGGTCGTGGCCTGCCGGCGCCCGGCGAGGTTCGAGGGCGGAGATCAAATGTTGGTGGTGAGATCTCGAATCCTTCTGTTTACGAGTGTGTCCCTGTTGGGGTTGTTTCAGATTTTGCCCCCCCCCCGTGTTGGTGCTGAAGATGCCCGGATACTGATGTGGGATGCCGTTAGTGGAAAACATGGGGGAGACAGCCTCCACAAATGACAGGAAAACTGCACTTAAGCGCCGGGGTTTGGGAATATGCATCTGAGTCCCTCTCATCACACATTGTTTCTTCGCATACGGCGCGTGTGTGCGCCGTTTTACGCTTCGATTTGGATTGCAGGCCGCGCAAGCAGGTAGCGCGTCTTGTGGTGGCATAGGGCGGCGTGGCTGCCGCCCAGTTCCAGTTGTCTGTCGCGGACGTAACTCGAGTTAATGCTGATGACGGAGTCGCGTGCGTGTTCAGGTTTCGGCCATTGCCGTGCGGAGGAGAAGCGGGCTGGGACCCGGCTGCCCGTCACGCTCAGGCTCCAGTCAGCGGCACACCTTGAACTGATCCGTGTTGGTATTTGAAATGACAGGGTCCCATCATGATGTAGCATGTCGTTAGTTGAAAACATCGGCCAGGCAGCTTCTACAAATGTTTGGGAAAACAATTTCTGCTCTGCGTCACATGGAAATGCGCGTTTTGTACCTCTTGTAATTGCATATTCCTCTTCCTTTGACGGAGGGCGGCGTGCATCGAGGCATAAGGTCTGTCTGCCGGACTGCTGGTGGTGCGAGCAGGCAGTGTACCTGAGGTAGCATGAGGTGGCAGCGTTGCCGACCAGGTCTAGGTGCCAGTCAGTGACGTACCTTGAGGTGGTAGGAGGTGACGCGGTTGCCGGCCAGGTCCAGATGCCAGTCAATGACGTACCTTGAGGTGGTACGAGGTGACGGGGTTGCCGGCCAGGTCCAGGTGCCAGCCAGTGACGTACCTTGAGGTGGTACGAGGTGACGGGGTTGCCGGCCAGGTCCAGGTGCCGGTCCCGCAGCGTCTTCAGCAGCGACAGCACCCGCTTGCGGCAGCCGCCGTACAGCAGCCGGTTCTCGGCCTCGTTGAAGCTCAGCACCCAAGCGTCGCCCTCCATCGAGTTCTGCTTGCTCTGCACGGCCTGGCTCTCCTTGCTGAGCAGGTCGAACCCTTCGGCCTTGACCTCGGCCACCAGGCTGGGGTTGGGCCACGGGATGCCGGGCACGGGCCAGTGGGCGCCCGAGCGCGGCCACACGCCGGCGCAGCGGAACGACGGCGTTACCTGCACCACGTAGCGGTCGCGGATGCGCAGTTTGACCTCGGTCGTGTCGCCGATCATCTTGACGCAGTCGCGGTAGTGCGACTTGTCGCACGCCTGCGCGCACAGCGTCTGCAGCTTGGCGCGCATCTTGCGCGCCGACAGGTAGCCCGAGGCGGTGATGAACTCGATCCAGAGCGACATGCTGCGCTTGCGGCCGTCGCTCAGCTTGAGCACCGAGCAGCCGGGGATGGTGCCGTCGTCGACGAAGTTGAACTCGCCCATCTGGTTGAGGTAGAGCACCACCTCGAACTCGGTGGGCGAGAGCACCTCGAGCCCCTCGAAGCGGCCGTTGCACTCGGTGAGCGAGGAGATGACGCGCGGCTCCTGCACCTCCACCTCCTTCAGGATGTCCTGCACTACCTTGCACACCTCGCGCACCGTCTTAGCCACGGCCAGCTTGCGCGCCTGCACACGCTCGGCGTAGTACTTGTTGAAGTGGTACATGGCCTGCGACTGGGCGGAGAGCACCTCGGCAGGGAGGTGGGCCAGCCCGTCGGTCGGCATTTTGGCCAGGTCCAGCATCCGTGCCGACCCGCGCGCCCCGCCGCCGCCGCCTCCGCCGACGCCGCGAGTCGAGCAACTCGCGCGGACTTGGGCGGCCGCCCCGGCCGGCCGGTCGGCTGCCGGTGGGCGGAGCATGTCGCCGTCCGCCGGCCGCCATTGGCCGCGCGCCGGCGGGGGGCGGAGCCTGCGCGCCGGCCCCGCCACGCGCAGCGGGAGCGCCGTGAAAAATGACCCGCTCCGAAGTGAGATGGATCTGTAATCTGCCAGTCAGTGATAGCGTGGGGAATAATTGCGGGGGACGCGTCGCGCGGTCTCACAGGTCGTCGGCCGGCCGTCGCTGCGCCTCTGATGGAGTGCGGGCGGCGTGGCGTGCCGCCCGCGGCCGGACCGGGCGGGGTCGGCGCCATCGTCGGCCGGCGTCGCGGCCGACCCGGCACGGCGGCCGGTGCCCGGCGCTGTGGCTGAAGACACCGCAGCGACGCGTCGTGGGTCGGGATGGATCCGCGCGTGGCGCCGGGGTAGTCTCGGGGATGGCCTGGTCCTCGGGGGCGACTGGCACGCCCTCCGGCGCTCAGAGAGCCCACATTACGGCCAAGTGAGGAGACACTGAAGCCTCGAAACGGTCTCCTACAAACCCCTCCAGGAAGTTTGAATGGTAGAAATACGCCCGGACACTGGTTAAACATTCGCAAGATTTCTCGGGAGGCATTTGGATAACGATCAAAGTCGTTCAGGTCGACGCGGCCGAGCATTTTTAGGTGACCTTTCCGCATTTCGGCGTGGCGTCCGCATCCGCCAAGGGTGAATCTTCCCATACAGATTGGAGCCCCCCCCCCCCCTCTTCCCCCCTTCCCTGTCCGAATCCTTATCAACTGAGGCATTAGCCTTTGGCCGTGAGTAGACAGAGTTAACCGCAAAACCCGATATGCCCTTCCATTAACGAGTAGTTTTACTTCAGTTAGCAGTGGTGCCCAAAGTGCCCTTTATCTCTATGTCCTGACCTTCTTCTGTCCGATTGCATGTCCTCAGAAGGCTTTTCATCCTCCGCTTCATATGCTTGCCGTTCCTTTGACACCGTTTGTCGAAGCATTGCGTTCACACTGTCCAACCTACGCGTCGTATTTTAGCATTTTTGTGTCATGTCATGTTTTGTCAGGAAAAGTTACATGGCGAACTTCGAACAGGAACACTCTTGCTAAGCAGTCACGGACGCAGTGAGAACTTTTCAGCGCATGTGAAATAAAGCAAAAGCTCCGATTTTTTAACATGCTTTGGTCGTTGGCAGTGATGCTTATCCACGAAACGGTCATAAATGGTCGGGCAGGTGCCCAGATGAGACTGCTGATTGTCCGTGTCTTCACCGAATGTTGCAATTAAAAAATAAACGACTTCATTAATTTAAAGCTGACCCCACTTTTTGCGATGGCCTTGTATTAACTATATGACGTGCTTGGTCGTAATCTACTTCAAGCTCCCCCCCCCCCCCCCCCCCGGCACCTGAATTTTCTACTTCTTGGCCTTAGGTTCGAACTAATTCGTTTAAGATTCCGAATAAGTTTTTTGAGCGTTCGCGATATTGCGAGGTATTGGGTTTTGGGTTTGCGACCGTACGGCTTCGGACAAGCTGACAAACAAAGTGACTAACAGTCAGCCTGCTTGCATGCGATTCCAAACGAATTGTTCGCATGTTACGAAGTCTCATGCTAATGCGCCGTATCGCGACACACTGGCAGCGTGGTGAAATGTCAATTATGTTTACATGGATGGGCGTCTGCGCCTTCGTCGTCATTGCTGTTTTTATCACGCAGCCCCCCCCCCCTCCCCCCCCCTCCCCCCCCCCTCTACGTCCTGGTGCATATTCGGAGTGGTCGGCTGATGTAAAGTTGCAAGGTAGACGCAGCGTAAACACCCGCTGGTATGTTGAACTGGTATTTCCAGGTGCTCTTCTGAAGTGTAGTCTCGGACTATGATGTTACACTGAACCGGTGAAAAGTTATGATTAGATGGGTATTGATGTGAACGGCAGCGCTTTGAGCCATCTGAACGTGTCTCGAACCCAGCAGCTGTCGGCCTGTTTCCCGACAGTTCAGAGGCCAGCTGTTACCCCCATCTTGGAGCTCATTGGTCAAGGGAAGCCGTGACGTCATTAGCGCCATTAGCGGAAAGCATGATATCTAGGGGTGCGTGGAATACACTATCCGGAGTAGTGTATTTTGCGCGGTTTTGGTGTATTCAACTGCGGATCAGGCGCCGTTGTCTGCCGCATTGGGTCGGATTTGCCGGCCCGTTCAAACGCGCTCGGTGTTTTGTGGCACGAGGTGAATGTGGCTAGTGTTGCCCCCACACAACTGCGTTCTCTCGCACAAAGGAAGCAGGGCGATTGCTGTAAGATAATTGAACGGTTTGTGTTATCAGATAGGTACACATTGTTCCTGATTATGTACAACACTGCGTCCAAAGCGCCTAACAAAAGATGCTTGGGCGCTGAAATGTCTTCTCCAGAGCCGTGATGGAGGCCTAAATCAGCGGAAAATGCAGGCTTTCCATGACTAGCAGCCCATGATAACGAGAAGGCCCAAGAACTGAGAACCCGTAATCGTCCGTATGGGCACAAAATGGCCACAGTAGTCGGCCCGCCCTAAAACTCCAATCAACAACGTAATCGTCCGTAACAGGCGGCTATTTTTCATCCCAAACCTTTTATTTCGACACTTATACTGGGTGCAGGCAGATCACTCTGTGTACTCAGGATCTGATAAGTAGGACTTCATGCATTTGAATCAGGATGTCGCTGTGCGGTTCCTCCACCTGACCGCACTTCACACTCCTTGTGCTTTGTTAGTGCACCTATGAACGCCTTCTTGCCTGGATCTGCCTGGTAAGCTGTTCGTGTCCTTGAAGCCGGGTCGTTTGCTGGCTATGCCGTTATTCCTGTACCTCTGAAATGATACTATTGTTTTCCGTTATCAGTACGGGCTATTTCTGCTAGCTTGTTTATGAGCATGCTATCAGCGTCCTTGAGATCAAAGTCATCTCCAGTCGTTCAGATGTAATTTCAATGTGACGCAAATCTGATGTGGCGAGGGTGCAGGGAAACCGAGACTGAAAAGACGATTAACGGCAAATGTACATGTGGGACGATCAGGTGGATGCAAGCCGTTCACACGAATCACTTCCGCTGAAGTGCTAGAAAATAGGATCTAATCGACGAGGATGCTAGGTATGTAAATCAATGGAGGCATCCTAAATGAATTGCACATGAGTAAGTGCGGCTTTCCCGAACAGTTTAAAAGTAGCTGATGAGTTTTATGCTGAAAATAACCGGCTTCCAATCAGGAGTTACTGACCATGGTACTGACCATGACCATGGTATCAGGAGGTACTGACCATGTAACCATGTGACTCGTTGCCTCCGATGCTGACTTGGAATGTGACCGTGACTGTGACTGCTTGATATCTTCATTTAACCAGTACCTCCCGGTATATTGAGGTGAGCTTATTTGTGAGCACCTCGGACCGTCGAAAAAGCATGAACTCAACGTTTTGGTTGTAATACCAAGCGCAAGGATTTTCGTAGATCACCCCAACGGCTTTCATAGAAACGAGTATTGTTTGGATTGGAACTGAACATATGCTACGACTTTATAAAGCAGCACAAATTCAACATGCCGCTACCCGCTCCAGACGCAAATATTGCTTTGCAGACGGATTTTAAACTGACGGCGTTGTATGTCCCCCAATTGTTGTAATGCTGTGCGTGGGACGAAGTCCAAGACTTCACTTGATTAGTCGATGAAGTGCTTCACGCAGTGGAACCTGACTCACCTTTTCATCTCTTGGTTGCCAAGATTTGGCGTGGAAGGGAGTGGTCCGTCCTAGATATGCGTTGTTTGAAGGTGCCGTGCCGGGCCGCTGTGTCAGACGCAGATGTGCTGGACTCGTACTGACTGTTGGAAGCCTGGCACGGAGCGAGTGACAAGCGCCGAGCCCAACCTGATCTCTTCTTTGAGTTGAGTGAACTTATTTCGAAACGCCCGGGGGCTTTCGGTACATTAAAAGAACGTTTTGCGTTCTGCTCATGTGATCGTCATCAGTTTCGGGCAAACATCTGGCCGGAATATCCACATCAGCCGACCGGACCTGCGGATGAGTACACAGGAAGTCGGTGCCCGCACGGCGGTGCCGGCTTCAGGACTGCCTGGTCCATGTAGCGGAGCATGAACGTCTGCATACGCCGGATTAGCCGCGCGTGTCGCTTCCGCGTCGTGGCTATGCGTATGATACGATTCCTCCACGCGCGTCCATCACACGGCGAGCCGATCGTCCCGAGCGTGCCTGGCGCAAGATCCCTGGCTTCGTGAGTTTGTGTGAGGCGGTTGAAGTTGGCCACCGGCCTGTGAGCTGAGCGTGGCCAGCTCGTGTTTTCTGTAGCTTGACAACGCCGGCGTTCTCTGTGTGATCGGTCGACGCGGTGGCACGAGCGGATCCTGATAAAATTCACCGGGTGGCCGGATATAAACTTTCCAGACGTGCTGTATATGTTTTTTTTAACGGGGAGCTATCTAGTGGATAGGTCAAACTTTCAAGTTGGTTGGGACAGCACAGGAGTGGTGGTGGGGGGGGGGGGGAGAGTCGGGCAGAGTTGCACACCTCCGCTCATCCCCGCCAGTGTTGTGGGTAGGGCGTCTGCCTCCCAGCCCCAGACAAACGGGGGTGCCGGCCAGCACAGCTGGCTGCGCGGCTCCGCGCGCTGTCCTGCAGCGGCACTCGCTGGGTCGTGACGGCGCAGCGTGGACATCACGGTGTGTCGTCACGACGTCACTATGGACACTGTCACGGTCGGCACGTGCGCCGGTTCGGAGGTCAGCAGTGGCTGCCATCGCGATCGCTGCTGCACTTGTGTTATGGCTGTGGTTCGGCAAGAATATTGCACGAGCTGTGTTATGCGGCAACCTGTCGCAAAGAATGCCACATCTGTCGTGGCTGCGGGCATCTCGCAAAGGGGCTGCACTTAGCTTGTCATGCGGCGGCGCCGCCTATAAATCTACCGTTGTGATGCCCG